ACGCCTGCACACTCGGGCTTCAATTAAGATCTTTCGGTAAACAAATCTCTGTTTACAACTTGGGAACCTTAGTTCTGCTCAATCGCTTTTTTAATATGAGATATTTTGAAGCCACGTAAGTCTCATCACATGCAACTGTAAATCTCCCTATTCAGTTACCTCTGTACTGTTACGTATGTCAAAGATTGCAGTTTTATTTTGCGTCTAACCGCCATGAGATTGAGAGTATGATCGGAGAAGTTTTGAGTTCTACAGTGACGGATCCTGTAAAATTGGGTTATTCGTCAACTCGCCCGACAAAAACTCGCCCGATCGGGCGACTTGACATTCCGAATTTACCTAATATTTCTGTCGTCAACTCGCACGCTCGTACAAAGTACAGCCAGGAAAAAAATTAAACTAAATTTTAAAAACGACTTCTAATAAAACCTCCGAAATGGCTGAAAAAATTTTGTCAGGACTTTCACTGGCAGATAACTGAAGTTATAAGGAGTAACTTAGTCTTATTTTTATATAAGAAAAAGAATTGGGTCTTTCGCAAAACATTCATCATCATCATCATCATCATCATTACAGCCCTTCACGAGTCCACTGCTGAACATAGGCCTATGTTCAGCGCAAAACATTCAAATCCATGAAATTCAATCGTAATAAATTTCACGCGAACGAAGTAGCGGGGAACAGCTAGTATTAAATAAAAATTTAAACTAAATTTTAATGACGACTTCAAATAAAACACAAATTAACATCTCAAAAATATAAAAGCATGTTACATCAAATAATAATCAAAGTCAAAAAAAATTATATAATTAATCTCAAAGCTTGTTTATTAGCTAAGTATAACGTGTTATTAACTAGCTATAAAAATATGATCAACATAAAAAAAAGAATCAACAATATCACAAAAGCATTTGGTTTGTTATTATCTAAGTATAAAAATGTGATCAAAAATATAAAATATAATCGATAATATCACTAAAGCATTCGAAATATAAAAATCAATAATATCACAGGAGCATTTGGCTTGTTATAACTACTTCTTACAACATAGATATCACAGATCACAGTTTTTGTTCTTATTTATTTTCAAATCAAAATATTCAAAAAATTATAATATAAGACTTTCGATATATAATTCAATACTTATGTTTCCGAGTCTGAGTTCGGTAATTGTGGTAGCAATATATTTATCGATAGCACAAGTTTATTTCTGTTTTATCGTAATATTTGATCCTTTTAAGTATAAAGTTTGATAATAATTATCTTCTCGTTGTAAGCTAGTCAAAAACTGAACAATGCTTTTCGGTTTACTCTTTACTTTTTTGTTTACAGTAGCATGCCAGCTCTCAACCATATTTGTGGTATGGTGATGATTGTTACTACACGACCATTTGTCAGCAAAAAATGAAGATTCCCTTAACCATGTTTCTACAAAATAATTATTAGATTGGACAATTGTTTCATCGTTGGGGCATTGAGACAGAATTGTACATTCTGTACATTCAACAACCACTGTCAATAAATTTTTTAGGTAAATGTGCCAAAACAATACACTTTTTATAATGATTTCTTATATTTACGCGAACACTATACATGATTAAAACTACTTTTACGGATTTTATCGCGTTTATTTTTACTTTTTATTTACTTTTATTTTTAATTCCCGACGTTTCGGGCGCTTTCCAGCACCCATGGTCACGGGGGACTGAGATGACTGACGTCCCGATGTCATTGTTAAACCCGGAGTACCTTCAGCTTTAATTATTGTTTATGGTCCGATCTATGCAAAATGAACTGACTATGTCCTGAGGTCTTGCAGTGGTATGCTTGGGTTTAGTTTTAATTTTATTGATTATAGGATCCCAAGCAGGTGGTAATACCCAGCCTCCTTCTCTATTGAAATTAGGATGTTTTTTGATTTCAATAGCCTCACGTATCATCCTTGGTAGGAATCGGTGTTCTTTCGCGAGGATTTGTGGTCTATCAAATCTGATGTAATGGTTGGGTCCGTCTAGGATATGATCACAAACTGCAGACTTCCCGGAACGTTGATGCTACACATCAGCTATATGTTCTTTTACGCGGGTCCTAATTGATCTTTTTGTTTGTCCTATATAAGAGAGACCAAATTCACAATCAAGCTTGTACACTCCTGCATCTTGTAGAGGAATATGATACTTGACGGATGGTAGGAACTGACTAATCTTCTTCGGCGGCTTGTAGAATGTTCTAATAGAAGCTAGCTTCAAGATATAGCCAATCTTGTCTGTGACACCTCTGACGTATGGTAGTACAGCAGGCACACGCTCGACTGTGGCCGGCTTCACTCGGTCACTGTGACGTAGGCGCGGGACAAGCTTCGGGTCATAGTCAGTTCATTTTACATAGATCGGACCATAAACAATAATTAAAAAAGCTGAAGGTACTCCGGGTTTAACAATGACATCGGGACGTCAGTCATCGCAGTCCCCCGTGACCATGGGTGCTGGAAAGCGCCCGAAACGTCGGGAATTAAAAATAAAAGTAAATAAAAAAGTAAAAATAAACGCGATAAAATCCGTAAAAGTAGTTTTAATCAAATAAACCTTTTTACATGTTTTCAAGACAGTGCAGATTTTGTTATGCCTACTTCGTCAGCCTTTCGCCACAAACTTCTACAAAAATGAAAGAAACACCCACAAATGCAAGTATCTGGGAATAGATCTGTGATAGTATATTTACGAGTATAAAATTTTTTGGATCGAACTGATCAGCGAAAACAACACTTTATAAGTTATTTTATTTTTGTTTGGCAATAATGCATAAATCTCAGGTATGATGTTAGTATGTGTTTCACTGCTTCCTAAATCAACATGTAAGGTTTACAATTGCTGGAAGGGTTTTGGACAAAATTTAAAAGTTCGTCACATAAAACTGTCAAATTACAATTTGCTAATATTGTTTCACAATTATCACTAGCGAAAACCAACATTCTATTCTTCGATCTGTAGTAATCAGCTAATAAAAACTTTTGAATTTTATTTTTTATGTGTATATATATCTATTTCGGATATAAAACAACAATATTTACTCAGTACCTTTATTTTAAGTTGTTTTTAAAATCTAGTTTAAATTTTTATTTAATACAATTTCGTTTTATTTGAAGTAGTTTTTAAAATTTAGTTTATTTTTTCCCTGGCTGTACTTTGTACGAGCGTGCGAGTTGACGACAGAAATATTAGGTAAATTCGAAAGGCGCCAAGTCGCCCGATCGGGCGAGTTTTTGTCGGGCGAGATGACGAATAACCCGTAAAATTTTGCCAGTTTAACGGGCTTATCGTTTATTTGTCTGTTATCTATTTATTGAAACTTAGAACTATCATAATAGGACTCATTATGCCAGTATCGCTGAAGGGACTTAGCACTTGGCTCAATAGATTAAAAAGTGTTTCCCGGATAGGTCTTAAAATGAATATGGATACCACAAAAGTCAAATTTAGCAACTATGTCACACCTATAATTTTAGCCAGTAAACAGGGTTTGAAGCTTAACCCTTCAGTCCTTTTAAAATTGCCACGCAGTCGCATGCACCTGGTAAATCCTGAGCGGTCGCATGCGACCGCACCAACCCACAGCTCTTTAAACCATTAAAACTTATATTTAGAGACTACTTTTCTATAAAAAAGTTTGGCATTATAAAATCTATATAAAATTCTCTATCTTGTGGTCTAAACAAAAGTCAGGTTTTACTTCATTACAAAAAGATTTTACTGTATTTTGATAACAAAAACAAAACATACCAAGCGAATGTCGGCAGCGTGAAAATCACAATTATTTCAATATATATTACTCGAAATTATTTACGTAAAATGATAAATTATATTCACACAAAAACATTCATTTCAAAACACTATACTAAAACACTAGAAAAATCAAAAAACCAACGCAATAATGTTTACGCGAAAATGGCGTTCGAAATGAACGTAGCTTATAAATAAATATCCATAGAATAACTATTTTTATTACTCTAGAGTATAGAAAATTTCATATTAATTCTATAATGCCAAACTTCTTCATCGAAAAGTAGTCTCTAAATATAAATTTTAACGGTTTAAAGTGCTGTGGAAGTGCGCGGTCGAATCCGATCGTTTGAATTTTGACAGAATAGCGCCGCGGTCGGATTCGACCGCTTAGAGCTTGAAGGGTTTATCAATATTTTATACTTAGGGGGACTGAACAAACGTTTGTCAACGTTCTCGCTCTCGCTCGCATGTCCCATCCATTGAACGTAAGCGCTAAAAAAAATCAAAAATGAATGAGAGTCTTCGCTTACATGTGGAAAGTTACTGTTGCTGTTTTATTTTTTATGATGGTTAAATTTTACGTTTTATTCAGTCGTTTAATACAATAACAATAATAAACTAAACGGCCCTTATAGTCCTCACTGAACAGTGGTCAAATAAAGCACATGTCCTTCCTGGGACTCAGCAACTCATGGATGTGCCAATTCTGTTCCTTAACGGACGAAATACCTCTGCACATCCTAAATAATTGTGGAGCTTTAATGCGCAAATGTAACACTTATTTGGGAAACTATGTACTTCACCCAGAAAAAGTGAAATTGCTCACAGCTAAGTGTTTCCAGCAATTAACGGAAGACCGTCTTAGCAGTGAACTATAACTACGAGTATAGCAGCGATCACAATAGATCTTACAGGTCGAAGTTATACTGGTTCTTCTAGACCTGCATTGCTGTTTGCACAAAAAAGGCTCGTATTAAAAATAATAAGGTAAAACTCCATCAATCCTTCCGAGTTATTCCCGTTAAATTCCATATTGTTAACAATTTTAGCAAAGCTGGATAAGATAATGCCTAGACTACACTAAAATCGAAATATAAATCATTGTTAGCTTAACGTAAGATAACTTTTTAATTTTTAATTATATAACTAACGTGAAACAACTTTTTTATTTCAGTGCAATGTATAGTTATATATATTATCGCATATTTGGTTACACAGCTACGATTGTAATGCACGTATCGAACATATATTTTATGATAAAAGGAATAAAAAAGGAACACTATGACGACCCATATTTGAAAGGCTTCAGAAATCTGCAGTCAAGATATTTTACTTGTTGGACATTTGTAAGTATAGTAAAAACTAATGCGTTGTGTGGTGGCGGTGTCGGAAAATTTATCACCCCTGAAATAAATGGGAATGAATTCCTCTCGTGGGTGTCGCAAGAGGCAACCGAGAGATTAGGCACAATTAGGGTTTGGGAATTCCCGACAATTTCAAAGTCCCGGGACACGAGATAGCCAACAATCAAAGTCCCGGGAATTCCCGGGACTTCGAGACTTAAAATTTTTTTTTAAGAGAGCTAAGCCTTTTTTGAAGAATTTTAATTGAGTTATCTCCGGTGTTTTTGTAAAAATCAACATTTATAAACAGAAAATTAAATTTTAATAAGTTTAAAGTTAATTTCAGTCTTAATAATTGCTTTGTTTATTTCTTTTAATCACACGCAAAATCTCCACATACGTAAAGTTGTTCTTATTTACTAAGTGCTCGGTGCTAATAAAAACCATTGGGAGGAAACCTATAACTGAGTGGAGCAACGGACAGCATAGAGAACTCGCTTTTTCCCTAAAATCGTCACTTTTAAACAGATAAATCTTATAGTTATAAAACGAACTTAATTGAAAATCATACCAATTTTAATAACGTCAAACAACAACAACTACACATTTATTGTGTTGTATACTCAGTAGTTATGTAGAAGACCGAGTAATTACTCACTAAACCAACAGATGGTTCCAGGCTCCTTCAATTATTTGAAGATAAAAATGATTACATAACAATTTCGACACTCTTGTCTCGTCTCAAGTCTCGACCTAAAAGTCCCGAGACTCGAGACAACTAAAATTACGAAAAGTCCCGGGACTTCGAGACACGAGACGTCCCGGGACCCAAACCCTAGGCACAATGTCTTTCTTATCTTGGTTTATATGTTTATATTTTACAGGTGATTCAAATTTTCTATGCATTAATTGGGCTCACATGTGACATATTAACGCTGCTGAATTCTGGTAAAAAAGATTATAAATTACCTAAACATTTACGAGGCTGCAGGGATACGTTATTCGCAGGTGTACTTTGGCCATCAACGTTGGTATGTATTAGTTAATTCTCATAATTTGATGATAATATCACAAATGTGTTTCTCAACAATGTTTTTATTAGTGGACGACAGTGGTTAGTTAAAGTGTAATTTAAATACATTTTAATTAGCTACTTGTATTACGTGTCATGTACGTGGGCTCACGTTTTGCTTATACAATTGAAGTGACAATCAAACAGTTCATCTCAAGGTAAGTAGCTCCTCCATAAGCACGCTCTTTGATACCAACAATCCTCATTCTGTAATTATACTGTCTGTCTCTAAAACGCAGACCGGAGCACAGCAGCGCTTGCATTGCTGCTCATTGCTGCTCGGTGGCAGAAATAAATTAAATGGTGGTGATTATCAAGACGAACTTCTAGGCAAAACAGGAGTCCTGAAACTTAGTGCATTCTGGTATATACTTCAGCATTCATGCTGCAACTTATTATGGCTAATTATGGCTTGTATTCGCCGACTTGACTGAGTAAGGTCACGCTTGCACTAAATACCAGCGTGAAATAGCCGCTTACTGCTGTGTTATGTAAGGTTTTAGGCGACTGGTGTTTGACGAGAACCGGAGACCCTTTTTACTGGAAACAGGGCGATACGAATGTCTTTGTCTTAAGTTACGACAACGCATCTTATTTTTTACCAAGTTTAAACTTAAGACTAATAAATAAACAATTTTTTCTATTGGGTCTTTACATATGAAATTAGCGTTTTGTCGTACTGATCACTTTGATCTAAAATATCTCCTCTCTGATTAGGAATTCCAAATTCAAATTTATGAATTCACTTGCTGGTACATTTTAGTTTTGAAAACATTTATTCATTTGTTTTTTACGCATTATTTTTTTCTTTTGCGTCGCTTATTACCGCACAATGGAAAACATGAAATATCGGTATATTTACGAGTACGAGGTCTACCGTGTTACCAGTGCTGCAGAAACAGCTCGATGGATTAATGATGTGTGCGGCGCTGGTGTCGCAAAAGAAATCACGATAAGTTTTTGGTTTCAACGTTTTCGTTCTGGAAATTTCGTCCTTCAAAACCAACCCCGTGGACGGCCGGATACCAAAGTGGAAAATGAAGAATTTAAAGCTATTGTAGAAGCGGATCAATCACAAAGCACTTCAGAGATAGCTGCAGACTTCGGGGTAAATGATAAAACTGTATTAATCCACTTGAAGCTAATCGGGAAAGTAAAAAAACTTGAACGATGGGTACCTCATGAATTGAGTGAATCGTACTTGCAAACACGCGTCGACTGCTGTGTTACTTTGCTCAACCGACACAAAATTTTAAGTCGAATCATTACTTGTGCTGAAAAGTGGATACTGTACGATAATCGGAAGAGCTCGTTGCAATGCTTGAACCCTGGAGACCTAGCCAAATCCTGCCTTAAACGAAAATTGACTCAGAAAATTGTGAGTGTTTGGTAGACTAGCGCCGGTGTAGTTCACTGCAGTTTTCTAGAATATGGCCAAACGTTTACGGCAGATATCTATTGTCAGCAACTACAAACCATGAAGGAAGAACTAGCTGCTAAACAACCGAGATTGGTCAATCGCTCTAGGCCACTGCTGCTTCACGACAACGCAAAACCAAACACTTCACAACGAACAACCACTAATTTAGATGAGCTACAATTGGAAATTCTGTGACATCCACCGTAGTCCCCAGACCTTCCTCCTTATTATGATTACCATTTTTTCCAAAATTCGGCATTCGACAAGGAAAAAATTCGACTCCGATGCGGCAGTCTAAACCTCCTTCAAAGACTTTATTGATTCTCGCCTCCATGGTTTTTTTTAATAAAGGAATCAATGAACTACCTATGAGACGGCAAAAGTGCATAGATAACAACGGCGCATAGTTTGATTATTTAATATATTTTACAAAAAAAATTGACTTTATATTCCTCCCGTACTAAACGCTAATTTCATATGTAAGGACCTATTAATAAGACGTGTTAAGTTTATTAATAAATACTAAATATCGTGTTTTACGCCCTTGTATTTAGTAAAATTATGTTTGGAGATAGTTTAATTTGATTCATCTTTATTTCAGTTGGTGTCTACAGTATTCTGGTCTCTATTTCTCTATGATAGAGATTTAATTCTCCCAAAAGCTATCGATAAAGTGCTAAGCAAGACATCAAACCATGTTATACATACGGCTATAGTTCCAGTCGTTTTATGGGAAGTTGTGTTTCGACCAAGGACCGAGCCAAAGTCACATTTGAGGAATATGTTACACGTTTTGTTTCACATTTCCTTATATTTTCTAGTGTACGTATAGTCTGTGTGAAACCCAGGCCATTTGTATTTTCTACAGTATCCGTCTTAAGATAGCAGCGTATGTACAATAATCACTCTCTTTCATAAATCTTATGCCTTTTACTTACTGTTACCAAGCGCCTGGCTACTATACAAATTGATAATAAGTGTTAATTAAGCGAAGATGCCCCCCATTTTGGGGGAGGCCTATGTTCAGCAGTGGACTTGTGAAGGGCTGTGATGATGATGATGATGAAGCGAAGATGGTAGGGGACATTGACTAAGCGGGACAAAATCCTATTTAATGAAAGATATTTTGTAATCGGAAGGAAAAACTGGAAAATTACTTCGCTCTTTAGCATTATGTATTAGCATATAGCATATAGTTGTATAGTCTTATAGTGTCCTATTCTTCGTGTCCTTATCAAGGTCACCAGTTATAGCGAGATGGTGTATGTGATAGAATATGTATAGGTCGCAGTCTGGTAAAAATTAATTTAGTTCAAGCGTACACATTCAAGTTAACATTTAATCACTTTAGACAGATACACAGTATATATACACGTAGTTCCCCACGACAAAATATAAAAGTTAATAGCTATATATATAAAATTGAAGGAGAAGAAAGCGATAGTATAAAGCAAATTAGCTCTTAGCCACCTCTTTACTTACGGGTACTTATATATATTAAAGATATTTAAAGATTATGTATATTAAAGGAGTGTGCAATCGTAAATACGAAGCAACCCGACTACAAATACGTAGACATTCGCAGAGAGACTGGTTGAAAATAAGTTACCATCAATAAAAGTGTAATGGCGTTTGATAGATGGTAAGGTATTAAAAAAATTGTACAGTTTTAGGAGGCCTAAGAGAACCTACCAAATCATTCTGGATGTGTGGTATCACAAAAGAGAATCTGAAAGTTCTGGTAATAATCGTTGAAAAATTCTAGTGCAGAGACCAGTGATAGAGAACTATATTTATGTTACGCTCTGACTATCCAGCGTGATGAATATGTGCACTTATAAAAATGCCTTTCGATTTGATTTCAAGAGCTAATATAATAGCATAAGTTTATTCCATGTAAATTTTCATTTTTTCATTCCATTCTATGCTTGTTGTTGGGAACCCTACATTTAAAGTTGTTGTCGAGTAAGTTTACCTAACAAATCGTTCGACTAGGCAGGTTCAATTCTACCGATAGATCAAACGATCAATCCCATTCAGTTGGGCAGCATTCGGGAGATTACGACACGTCTTCCCATGAATTCAACAGAGTCGTGGCAGCTCAGGGGCTAGTCGCTTGCTGTAAATTTCACAGTACGCGAGCAACCCAGGTTCGATCCCCACCGCACCAACGAAATTGTTAATTGCAATTTTAAGTGCTGATTTATCACGTACTTGGCAATGAAGGAAAATATCGTGAGGAAACCTGCATGTATCAGAAATAAAAAAAAATTAATGAAACATGAAAAGTTCGCCAACCCGCATTGGAGCAGCGCGGCGAACATTTCGTAGCCCTAAAATCTTCTCTACTTCTCTACTAACTAACTTCTCCGATGTGACTAACTTTTCCGATTACGAATTTCTCAAGTCGGAAAAAAAATTGTATAACCTGGGAATGTTCCGGTGATAACATATGTATCTGAGACGCAATATTTCGGTTTCAGTTTCTCTGTGTGATAAAACTCCTAATAAGAATATCAGTAGTAGAACCAGAGTAACTGAGTTCCTAACGGATTTGGCAATTGGCCGGCTATATAGTTCGAAATACCATTTCTTGAGTGGCATTAGATGTATTGACGTCTTGGTAAGACAGACAGTGGCATGTGAAGTGCTGTTATAGTGATGATGATGTTGATGATGATGATGATGATGATTGAAGTGATATTTATTAAAAGTCATTTATACTTTAACACTGAGTCGGAAAAATCTTTGTCATGGAAAAGAACAGCAAAAGATCCAGCGGGAAATTATTAAGTTCGGTTTTAATTATTAACGAATGATAGTGGTGATGACAGTTGTCTTTTTTTTTTTCAGGTTAGCATACACATACAGAGAGCGGGGCATTTGGATCTATCCTATTTTTACGAAAACATTTGGTACTATTTATTTCCCCATAATTTTAGCCATTTTATTATCTTTAAAAATATTTTTTTACTTTTTGCAATGGCAGTTAAATTATCTTTTACATGGAAGAAAAATGATTAGTAAGAAAACACTTTGAAAGCCTTGATAAGCTTCGGAATGAGGTTTTTGTTATTTAGTTATTATCATGTGTGTGTAATATTTGTAAATAAATATAGTTATATAGTTATGATTTTTTTTCCTATAAATTATTTTCATAGAAGGAATTTTTTTTCATAACATAAGTAAGGGTGACTGATAAATGTATAACATAGGCATAGAATATATAATAGTACTAGGCACCAGTGGCAAGAAGTGACAAACGAGCCCACAGTCCACCTGATGGTAAGTGATTGCTGTAGCCCGTAGACATCTACATCTATCCTCGATTATGAATCAAAATGCAGATGCGTTGTCACCCATGAGGACTAAGATAGAATGCCTTGTTTCCAGAAAAAAGGGTCTCCGATTCTTTACACCATACGAAACACAGCAGCATTAAGCTACTATTTTACGCTGGTATTCTGTGACAGCGTGGTCCTTCCCCGTTCGAGCCGACAAATTCGTGCTACAACTATACTTCTAATATAACTGCAGCATGGCTCTACCACGTATTAGTTAATAAATGTAAATATAATTAATAAATATATACAATATAATAATTATTCAATAAAGGGTAAATAAGTTCAATAGGTATCATCACGTAAGACAAAAGATAAAAATCGCATTGACATTGCCTTGTTACCCTCGGATCTCTTTTTTGGATTCAAAGAAGAACTCGGACTTAAAAAAAGAAACCCAATGGGATATTTTTTAACATTACTATTTACATTATAATAATAAATAAATATAATAACAAATAAATATGAAAATATTTAAAAACAGCATGGTAGCGACCGCCTTATTCCCAGGGCTTATTATCAATTATTATGATGGAAGGTATGGAATGAGTTGGACAAATCTTAAATATTAAATTATTTGGGATTTTGTTGAAAAGAGCACACATTGGTCGGGTCGGGAGGAATAACTGATTCTTTGGAGTCGAGTAACTTTTATTACTAGCTTCTCATTCTCTTACTATATAACATAATATACTTCACTATTTTCAATAAAAATATTTTTGTTTATTTTTTGGCAGGGTGACAAAAGAGTGCACAGTCTACCTGATGGCAAATGGATGCTGTGGCCCATAGACATCTTGAGTTTGAAGAATCAAAATGCAGACGTGTTGTCACCCACAGGGATAAAGACGGAATGCCTCGTTTTCAGTAAAAAAGGTCTCCGGTTCTCTACTTTCACCACTGAAACATAGCATCACTAAGTTGCTGTTTTATGCTGGTATTCTGTGAGAGGATAGTCTTGCCCCGGTCAAGCCGGCCCATTCGTATTGTTTAATATAGCTGGCTTTTAATTTAATTTATGTACACAACGTGGCTCTACCAAGCTGTGTACATACATAAAAATTTCGGTAATTTACATAGCAACACCAACGTTAATATATTTGTGTCTTTAATTTTTTTTTAAGATTCCTTCGGACTTGCGTTATAAAATGCACTTATGGTTGTTTTTTGCAAAATGAAGACGTATATACGAAATAATTAAAATAAACTAATCTAGCTATTTCAATACATGTAAAGCTGGTAATATTTTTTAGAGTACGAACTGCAGAACCAAGTCAAATTTACTATTGTGGCCGTGGTAGGAAAAGGGGAGATCTCCCGCCGGACAAGGTGTTCTGCCCGGGGAGCGGCCGACACTCCATGTGATAGTTCGGAGATGTTCTATATATACTGTTTCTGATTCGGAATGTTGATAGCGTGATTTAGACTTCCGTGTATTTCGATTGTGGCGCGACGACAGCGCCGCTACATCACCCCCCCTGCTCAGACCGGAGGTCGATAGTGCAGTCGAGTTGTCGACGAATGTGCAAGTGCCAGGAGATTGCCTTGTAGTCTGCGGTGAGTCGAGAAGAAGGCAAGTAATCTGCGAGAGTGCCGTGAAGCAGAGGCGAACAGTAAGGCTCAGAGCCGTGCCGAACACTGTGGCGCAGAGAGTAGCTTGAAGGAACAGGGAGCATTATTATTCCAGTGCTGCGATGAACCTTGTGAAGCTAGATGGCTTGCAGGATATGAAGACTGCAGACGATATCTACTCGGGAGCGAATGGGTGGGGTATTTTATGACGATGATGAAGCTTGAAGTTTCCGAAGGTTGTTTTTGGTTGCGTGTTCAGATCACGTCGGGGTCACCACTGTGGCCGTGGAAGGAAAAGGGGAGATCTCCCGCCGGGCAAGGTGTTCTGCCCGGGGAGCGGCCAACACTCCAGTGATTGTTCGGAGATGTTCTATATATACTGTTTCTGATTCGGAATGTTGATAGCGTGATTTAGACTTCCGTGTATTTCGATTGTGGCGCGACGACAGCGCCGCTACACTATCAAGGATCAAAATTACAATGTTTACCAGAAAAAAGAAAACCAAAAGGTCTGAACTCAATAGCTGACACTGTGTTAGTTATTTATAAATTTTATAATTAAAACGTCCGGAGTAAAACATGCTGCTCCGCCTACCGGAATGGACGGAATAACGTCTTCCATACCAGCTAGAACGTATAAAAACTAGCTTGCCAGACAGACGTTGTTCTGCCCTTTTTGACGACTCTTTGTCATGTCCTATTAATAATTCTTAAATTAGCATAAAATAATTGTAGTTTACTCATGGGCAAAAGAACTATCCTATCCTTCAAGTTGGACCAAACTGCACACACTGTGCAAATTTCATCGCGGACAAACAACGCGACACGTAAATTATATATATTAAGATATTTAAATTTAAATTAAAAATTAAGAAGTAAAAATCTTATATATCCATTAAGTGTTTTGTTCATTTATTAATTAATTGATTACAGCATATCAAAGCCACGACGGTAGGCCTCCCCATACAATACCATGTAAGGGAGATATATACCATAGTTGCAGCTTTTGTTAGTCGGGTCGACTACCGCAGTGCTTTGCTTGTTGATATCAGAAAGATGCTGCTGCCAATCTTCTTCTTTGTTCCCTTCTGTCATCTCTTACTCTTATTGGATGTTGTAACATCACCACCACATGCCATAGATCATGTGTAATGCGTCCATGTCATACCTATCCCTTACCTAGGTAAATCCAACTTCGGCCGAGAGGTCAATCGACGGAATCAACTCGGCTGGGCAGCGTTCAGGAAATAACGACACATCTTTTCGTCAGGTTTATCTCAAAACTTGAAAACGAGACTGTATAACCAGTGCTTGTTGCCAGTGATGACTTATGGAACTGAGACGTGGTCCTTCACTGCTAGCCGTATGAGAACGCTCAAGGCCGCTCAGCAAGCTATGGAGAGGGATTTGCTCGGGGTTTCTCTGCGTGATAAACTTAGAAATGAGGATATCCGCTGTAGAACCACAGTGTCCGACATAGCACAACGGATTAGTAAGCTGAAGTGGCAATGGGCCGGCCATATGGCTCGAAGAACCGACAACCGATGGGGAAAAAAGGTTCTCGAGTGGCAGCCTCGTACCGGTAGATGAAGTATAGGGCAACCCCCCACTAGATGGACTGACGACCTGGTAAGACATGCAGGAAGTCGATGGACGTAGAGGGCTCAGGACCATGATTTGTGTCGTTCTTTGGGGGAGGCCTATGTTCAGTGGACTTTCACAAGTCCACTGCTGAACATAGGTCTGAATGACGATGAAGATGATGACTACGTGCCATAAAATTAAAAAAAATGCATTTACAGTTAATATAACTTTTATTTAACGTTAAAACTGCGTATATTTTAATGTTATACGGGATTTTTAATCTATATGTAATATATATCACCATTAAGAGAGCTTTACCATAGTAAAATTACTTAATTCAAGGCCATGCCACAAGAGAAATCACAGGTAACTGACCACTTCTTAAACGTACAATCAACTTTCGAAAAAAAAGAATCTCCTGCTCTATAACCAAATTAGATAGACCTAATACACTCCGCATTCATAGAACTTGGGTACAGTATACCCCACACATTATTTTTCCTTACAATGAAAGATCTTTCTAACTTGGACACTTTCATTGCTAACCAAGATAAATTTGAATCATGTAATTGTTTCTTATGCAGTATCTATATTTATTATCATAAATATCAAATTTGTGTGGCATATCGAAGAAGAGTTGATGTGGTATGTTTGTTTGTATTATAATGTCTTCACAAGAATGATCAGACTAATGTTTGTTCCACTTTTCACGGTCAAGACTGCTAGTGTTGCCAGTGTATTTCATTTTATTAATTTCTTTGGAAGATTAGGATTTAGAAATCAGAGCATCCTTTAATATAATATGTATCATATTTATATAAATGTGTAAGTTTGCTATAAAAATCTTATTTATTTTGCAAAGAAATAAAATATTCAAAATTAGAATAAATATGTCACTATCACATTCGCCTATCAATACAACCATCACAGGTCCACTTCTAAATATAGGTCTATTCCATAGTTACCATTAATTACGGCTCTAAGCAAACTGCATCCATCGACTACCTGCGTTTTTATCGATCGTCCCTCCATTTAGTGAGTGAAGTAATTACATTGATAAATTCTTATAAGTGAGTCTTTATACGTCCCGCTTTGTGCTCGAACATCCTTTTATTCCTGAGATGTTTTTAAAACAAGGAAGAGTCGGCCGCGCCGCCTTACGGCAGGTTGGCGGACTTTAAATGTACTCGATTTTTTAATTTCAAGGTGGAGTAGGTACCTTAATTTTTTAATTTCAGTGTTGCCGGCGGGGATAGAGTTTTGAGTGCTATGAAATTTTGTTAAATTCTTATTTAGCGAAGAATATATATTTACTACGCTTATTATGTTTATTATATCTAAAATTAATAGTTTCATATATTTAATTAAAAGATTTATTTTTTTATTTATTTATAAAATAATTTTGAAGTAGCTATAATCTTAAATTAGTTTTTCAATATAAACGTTCCATAACATTGTTGGGTGATTTAAAATTAAGAATCAACAAAAACATGGACAAAAATTAATATAGAATGGAGGTAATCTATTTAAATATTTTGTTTAT